AGAAGGATCAGGTGAGCAAAAACCAGCCTGAGTATGGAGTACGGAGAGGAGCCAGGGTCTCTGAGGAGCATCACAGGGGGCTCGTGTTCATTCCTTCCCTGTGTGCGTTGGGAGAAAAATGCAGAAGCCAGCTCTGCTTTAGCCATCGCTGTTGGCTGAAGCTCCCAACCATTGCTACTGTGTCTGGATGTATCTATCCACCCTCATCTGTCTTCTCCTCCTCTGCTGAGAGCCGTGCAATCTTCGTTAATGATAGACCCATCATGAGCATGTTTAATCATAGAATCCCAGGATGGTTTGGGTGGAAGGGACCTTAAAGCCCACCCAGTGCCACCCCCTGCCATGGGCAGGGACCCCTCCCACTAGCCCAGGTTGCCCAAAGCCTCATCCAGCCTGGCCTTGAACCCCTCCAGGGATGGGGCATCCACAGCTTCTCTGGGCACCCTGGGCCACTGCCTCACCCCCTGCACAGGAAAACATTTCTTCCTCACATCGCATCTCAGTCTCCCCTCTTCCAGATTAAAACTGTTCCCCCTCGTCCTGTCACTACACTCCTGGATAAAGGGTCCTTAACGATTTGGGTTCCTCTGGAGAAGTGTCCTCCCTATTCACACATCGCTATAGCGAGGAGGAGGCCACCAGCTTGGGCTGGACACCCCTGAGCACGTCAGCCTGAACCACCACGGCTCCGGCTCTGAACGTGCTGTTTGGAGACGGAAATGCCTGGGAGTGTCCCCAAAGGAGCTGATGGAAAATGCGTGTCCAGATCCACCTGGAACCTGGAAAGGTCCCCAGGACCAGCACGAAGAGCTCCACTCTCCATTAGTTTTGCTTCTTTTTACTAAGTCAGGGTCAACAGATCCCATGCTCTTTTCCTGTTGCAATGCTCCCTGCTGAGATAAAATTGAGCACCGGGCAGCCCCACCTCTTCTTGCTAATCTCTACATCTCTTCTCCACTGGGAGCTGGCATGGAAATGCCAGGAGTCTGGCTGGCTCTGTGGGTTTCTAGGAATATTGGTCATTTGGGGGGTTCCTCCCACCAAAAGAACACATAGACCCGGCTTACCCAGTGGTCGCTGAAATCTCCAACGATCACAGCAGGGGCGAAGGATCTGGCGGGATTCATGGAGCAGCCGGTGTAACGGATCTACCGAGAAACACCACGCTTATTGTTAGCATTAAGCCCTTTTAGCGCATTTTAAAAAATCCTGGTGTGTTATTAGCGTGATTCACTCCCCGAGCTCGTGTTTCGCCCTCCAGCGTGCCCATTCCAGGAACAGGGGTGCTCGCAGCTCCCAGCACCTGAGTCAACGCGGATGAGTTGTCCGTGTTTGCGCATCTTCTGCGCAAGCACCTGCGTCCCGAGCGTGGTGCAACCCAGCTGCAGGCTGGGTGACACAGGGACTGTGGGGACAAGTTCCGGCTGTGCCCAGTCCTGGAGCAAATCACTGCTCCTGGGCACTGGGGATGGGAGAACAATCCCATAGACACAGGGGCTCGCAGATCGCTAAGGATGGGAGATGTGTGCAAATATCGTTTTTTAGCACACGCACTGAGAGGCTGGGAGCATCGGGGGCTGCTTTGGTCTGTCATCCAGGAGGGGTTTCCCCGGGTGTCCATCCCAAACACTTCCCAGACTTATCATCGTGGTCCAGGATGAAAGACCCCACTGATCCCCGGGAGCAGGACTCGGGGAGCAGCAGAGCCCAGCGGGTTCCGCGTTCCCATGCCCAACAAAAGCCGAGCTCAAGCTATGGCTCTGCTGGGGCCATGGGGGGATTTTTCCATGTGAGTTACAAATTCCCCATCCACCCCGGAGCGTGCCGCCACGTGCCGCAGGCTTTGGGCACAAGGCAAAGACCTGTGTGAACAGAAACCGCTGCATTTTAACCCATTCTACCCACCCCAAGGAGATGCCCCACGGCAACGGAAAGGCCGATGGAGAGGGCAGGAGAGCCCAGGTTGTCCTCCCGGCGCTCATCGGTGGAAGCGAAGATGCAGAGGACCAGCTGGAAGGTGAGGAAGAGCTCGACGGTCACCGCCTGCCCCGTCGTCGTCTCGTTGTGCAGCTGGAAAGGGAGAAAAACATGTTTCTGGGTTGGGCAAGTTTGGGGAGGGGGTTGGGAAACCCAAATCAAGGAGAACCAAAAAGGACGTAGGAAATAGGTGAGATTTTTGGCACCGGTATGAAGAGGAGAAAAAATTTCCCAGGTAAAAGGAAAAGTGGGTTAATGGATAATATTCAATCAACATGGCAGGAAAATTTTAGTTGCATTTCTCTGGGGTTTTTTCCACTCTTCTTTTTGCCCCTGGGGATTTATTTTTTTTCTTTTCCTCATACTTAAAATGCAAAATGCTTTTTGGAAAAGTTTACAAACTGCATTTTGAAAATGTAAAAAAAAAAAATGTTTTGGCATTAAAAAAAAATTTCCTTTCCCCCTTCCCACACTTTTTTGACTGAAATAATTTGTCAGGTTTGGTCTGAGGCTGTGCCTGGTTGTACCCCCCCCACTCCAGCTCTGCTTTGACACTCTATTACTTCTTGGTGGATTTTCATCCAGATCTGGATGGGTCTGGCAGCGCTGCCAGCTGGATCTGTCCCCTTGCCTGCAGTGTCCCATCGCTGCTGCTCCCTCATCCCATCCTGGCGCATCTCTGCCCTTTCTTTCCCCGTGTCAGCCCTGCTTTGGACCCTGTGCATCCTCCCAAGCCCTGATCCCAGGATCACTTTGCTCGGTGACGCCACAAAGGCAGCAATTGCCCTCCCTCCTGGCCAAGATCCAGAGTCGGATCTCACTCGCTCTCCTCTCTCTGATATTCCCCCTTTTTTTTTTGGGTCTCCCTCCCTCTCCTCCCTCTGATATTCCCCCCTTTTTTTTTTTTTTTTTTAAGGGTAATTTGTGCAGGCAGCTACAAGACCAACAGCCCACAGGGGAAGAAAATATCAAAATTCCTCTTCCCTCTTTGAGGTGGTTTAAGCTGTAAAACAGAGTGTTTTGAAAGTCTGTCTTGAAACTCCTGCTTGCTTTGTTGGGTTTGTTAAACCTCAGCTATTATCAGTGTAAATAGCCTTGTTCAGATTAATCCGCAATCCCTTTTTCAACCCTCTTAATCTCTTTGGCAGCAAAGCTGGGTCCTGGCAGTGCCTCCCTGCTGCAAGAAAGGGGATTTCCATGTGCTGCTTCCCAAAACGTGCCTCCTCCCTCGCGCACAGCCGGGGTTTGGGTGATGCTGGTCCCAGCATGGGCGTCCCTACAGGAGATCCATCTGAGGAGGGGTGGTGGGGCATGGAGAAAAGAGAGGGGATAGTGAACCCTGTGGATTTTTAAATTTTTTCCCCTCTTTTTATTATGTGCCTGGGTGGTGAAGGGGATGTTGGACGTTGGGGTACCACTGGGGACTCCCCTCGTGGCTTCCTAAGGTCCCCCAGTTGTCCTTGTTTCCCCACATGTCAGAAACCAGACTGGGATCCTTGTGACTCTTCTGGCACGGTTGCGGTGGCACTGCCCCGGCGCCCACGTGTGCCGGGTGTTGAGATGGACTGGCTGGATCTGGTGCGTCCAGCCCTTCGTGATAGGAAGCAACTTAACGAGTAGTGCTATCTAACGAAAGGCTGGGGTATAGACCTAAAAAACCACCCCCTACCCTGGTGCAACATCCCCATTGCTGGGAATTCAGCACAGCAGCCTGTAGATAGTGTCACAGAGGGGAGACAAGGCTGCCCGTACCCACACCAAGAGTGGAAAATGGGACGAGTCTGGGGCAGGAGGAATGGCCAGGTGATGCTTTTGGCGTGTCCTTCCCTAAACCCCTGGTCTCTCTGAATCCAGCTCCTCCACAGTACAGCCCTGGATAAAACTGAGATAATGGTGGCTTTTTCTTCTAAGGGAGGTGTCTATGGGGCAAGCTGGATCATCCCTCTGGTTTTAATCCTAAGAAGCAAAGGAGGAAGCCTGGACTCCTTGTCCTCATCCCTACTCCTGGAAGGGCCCTTGGTGCAGCAGCTCACGGCGCTGGGCTGCAGCCAACAGCAGCTTCCCACCCAACACGAAATACGGGGGTGGTCCTTGCTGGCCACAAAACTCTTCTTCACATCCCTCAGCCATCCCAAGAGCCCTGCCCACCCTTTCCTCCTCCCTTCCGAGCCCATCCATGGGCTGGATGAAGTCTTACCTTGTTGATGGCCAAGCCTTCCCGGGAGTCTGCGGGGGTGATCTCGTGCAGGATGGCAGCCCCCACGACACCCCCCAGGAGCTGGGCCACCACGTAGAAGACTGCACGGAGGAAGGAGACTTGGGAGCCGATGAGGCAAGCCACCGTCACCGCCGGGTTGATGTGGGCTCCGCTGATGTGCCCCAGGGCTTGGACCAGCGTGCCGATGGCCAAGCCGAAAGCCAGCGCAATCTGGAGGATGCTCGGGGAGGCAGCCGAGGGCCAGTTCAGAGCAGAGCCCAGGCCAAAGAGGATGAAGACCAAAGTTGCCAAAAACTCTGCCAAGACAGCCCGGGTGAAGGCTACGGATCGCAGTTCCCACATCATGGAGCGGCTGGAGGCTGCAGGGACTGACCCAGCCCGTGGTGTCTTCAGGCAACTGCAACAGCAGCTACTGTGTCCATAGGGGATGACGGGAGGACAACGTGTATATATATGGATGCAGGGCACTAAGGATCTCCCACTGAAGGAGGTGGGATTGTGGTCCTAGGAAACCTGATGCTTTTTTTTTTTTCATTTGTGTTCCAGCTGAGGGAGCTTCAGACCCTGCCCCCTCTATTAGAGCTGGGGAATGCGGCGTTGGCCACCCCGGGAGGTTGTAAATCAGCCTTGAGCGATGCCATGTACGCTGATCCCTTTCTCCTGGGCTTTCTTACCAGGGGTCCTATCTCCAGAGGTGCTCGTTTCTCCTCTCTTCTCCAAGTTCTACCACCTGCAGCATAGGGAGGAGAGCAAGCAAGGGGGGTCAGTAGAGCTGGAGATGGAGCTGGGGTGGGGTCGTGTTGAAGAAGAGGATGTGGGCTGTGATTTAATAACCAGGAAAAACTGGATGCAAAAGAGTCTCTCAGAGGCACAGAACTCCAGGTGTCTACTACAACTTGGTTCCTCAGAGCAGCAGAATTTTACAGCCTGGGCACGGATTTCCTACCCAGAAAAATGGGAACCAGCCCCAAGAAATGACTGTCAAGAAAAAAAATCTAGCGTGAAAAAATGACATACACAGCTGGAGTATTGGCTGTGCTCTAATTACGGGGATTTTGGCTGACTCAGCTCTTCAGAAATGTCTTTTTACCTCTTGGTGTTAATCCACAATGGAGGAACGAAATTTTCTTCTCTGGAGCGTGGTTGTTCACATCAAACCACCCACTAATTGTCCAACAAGTCCATTTTCCTTTTGCTTCCATTGCTCAGGGCACGTTTTCCCACTCCTGGGTGATGTCTGCAGAGACTTTTGCTCCCTGTGTCGCTGCTGGAAAGGCAGCACTTGCTCCTTTTTTGCCCCTAGTTAGCAGACTCCACGGTCATTCTCAAGCACGGTGAGGTGGGAGGAGCGCTCCCCCGGGGCAGAGCAGGAGCTGAAAGGACCATTTTATTTTAGAGGGATGCAGAGCACTGGAACCAAGAGTCCATTTTCTGTCTCTGACCAAGGTTGCCGCTGTACGATAAACCAAATACTTTTTCCCTTCTGGAGGAACTGTGCAACTGATGTGAAGGGTTAATGCAAAATATTCCATATTGCTCAAATTATGTCATAGACTCTTAGAACATCTCAGGTTGGAAGGGACCCATAAGGACATGTGAAGGCCTCTTCTTTCCTCCACAAAAGGGAGGTAACAACACTTATCAGCTGGCCTGGATGGTCCCTGTAGGTCCCTTCCAACTGAACCCTTTGTCTTTTCTTCTCCTCTTCTCTTCTCTTCTCTTCTCTTCTCTTCTCTTCTCTTCTCTTCTCTTCTCTTCTCTTCTCCTCTTCTCTTCTCTTCTCTTCTCTTCTCTTCTCTTCTCTTCTCTTCTTTCTCTCTTTTTTCCCTCTCCTCTCCTCTCCTCTCCTCTCCTCTCCTCTCCTCTCCTCTCCTCTATTCTTCTCCTCTCTTTCAAAGAGATGCTTATGGGGACTTTGCCCTTAACAAGGGAGAGATTGTGGGGAGACCAAGTCCAGCTGCTGGTGAGTCTGGAGCCTGGAAGATTTGGATTCAACTTTTTCCCTTGAAAACCCTTCTCCTGGACTTCCTTGGGGACTTTGGCCCATCACAGCATCACTCCAGACTCTGGTTTTCCAACAGTGAAGCCAATCTCATGGAAGAGGTGGTAAGGCTGAATTTATCTGGGGTGCCGGTGAGCCACGAAAGACGGTTGCGTCCAGTCTGTAGGCTCTTGCTCCTGCCTGCCTGGTACAGATTTGAGAGCTTAGCGTGACTCAAGAACCAGTTGTGTCAGGGATTGTTTATGAAGGCAGGCTGTCATTAGCGCAGGGAGCGATAGAGAACTAATACAGGCAATTAACCGGAGCTGATACCCTCTTTGATTAATAGTTATTCACGGCGAGCAAGTTGTGATGTATCAGTGCTTAATGAAGACTAGTTAAAAGGAAAGAGAAGTAAGCAGGATTTTCTCCGAGCAACTTAGAAATCTAACGCAGCCTCGTGGTCTTCACTTCTGCCTGGCAACGTGCAGGTTCATTGCAGCTCTTGTTTGTGCCGCTTTTTGAGATGTTGGTGCTGTGGACAGTGGGTTCCTGCCGCATACTGTGACGGAAGGGTCCGTGTTGCATCGTGAGACATTTTGCTGGAAGGGAGCTCCACTACCATGGGCTTTGCCGAGGGGCTGAGCAAACCATTGCTGTGAGATGCTGCTTTCCAGCAAGAATAAAAACACATCCCAGCTTCCACCCAGAGACCTCCAGCACTGCGGTTGCTGTGATCCTCCTGGTTTTACAGCAAGGGGTCCACAGCACGAAGCTGGACACTGCCGTTGCTCGTGCTGGGCAGTGCGTCAGTGGCAGAGCCTGAGTTTCCTGCCTTGCCATGGCCATATTCCTGGGAAACGAGGAAACTGGGAAATTCCTAGGAAGAAGTGTTTTCCTGTGAGGGGACTGAGGCAGTGGCCCAGGGTGCCCAGAGAAGCTGTGGATGCCCCATCCCTGGAGGGGTTCAAGGCCGGGCTGGATGAGGCTTTGGGCAACCTGGGCTAGTGGGAGGTGTCCCTGCCCATGGCAGGGGGTGGCACTGGGTGGGCTTTAAGGTCCCTTCCACCCAAATCATCCTGGGATTTGATTATTCTAAATGGAGAAATGTGAGACCAAGCAAGCTGAAGAGCTTGGTACTGGGCTGCTGAAGTTCTGCTTGTATCTGCGAGGGGTTCCTGGAGCTGCTGGCGTTGACAGTAACCTTACACCAAGTGTGCTGCAGCTTTGGGAGCAGCGACAAGCATTGCAGCCCTGTCCCAAAGCCGTCCAAGATGCGAAAGTTAATTATTTTATTATTTTACCTTTTAACCCCCAGCCCTTCGAGTGTAATGACATTATCATCCCTCCCCAGGATTGAATGCAAACGCTCATGAAGAGGTTGTTGGCATCAGCAGAGGGTTGATATGCCGTGCTCCGTCCCGATGGCAGAAAACAGCCTGGTACGGCGTTTTTGGAGAACATTTTGCAAGCAAGGGAACTGCGCTTGCACAACCACTTGCTTCTCGAGTGGCTTAGATGGCTCAGATATCTTTGCTTCCCTGGCTTTCAGGAAAATATAAACATCTTTAAGGTATCTCCATTCCATCTCAAATACCTCCGAGCCACAGACAATAAAAGATTTATTGCATAAACAGTGAGTTTTCCTGCTTGGATCTGATCCGTCGCAGGAGGTGTGCGTGCTGCCCAGACCTTGCTGGAAGCTCCGTTTTCTGCTCTTTTCTGCGAACAGAGAGCTCCTGCAGACAACTCCCCTCCTCTCTGATGGCTGAACAGACAACCCGCACCCGTGTGTGACAGGGCAGCAAATGCCCTTTTTATTAGACACCGGAGAATCCACAGGAGGACTCAGTCTTGGGAGGAAACTTCACACAAACCCGGCTGTTATTGGTTCTGTGTTTGTTCAAATAGAGATTTTCTTTCCAAGAAAGGAGGTGTAGAACTGAAAATGCCACTTCTGGGGGTTCTCTAGGGGAAGATTTCAAAGAAGCCAAGGGATAAGAAGGAGGAAAATCTTAATTCCAGTATTGTGACTGATCCTGTTTCTCAGTTGAGGTTTTCTGCTTGCTGCCCAGATCAAGGGACGTGCCAGTGCGTTTGTCCCGGTCCATGGACCCCAGGGGCTGCCAGGGCACCGGGGGAAGTGGAGCAGGTGGGGATGAGGGTGCGCACAGGTCTGCATTGGGATCAGCAGGGGCAGAAACACCTCAGCTGGCTTTTCCCCTGGGATTCAGGGCACCTTCAGCACCGGTTTGGCTCCAAGGACCTTCCCACCCGGGATGTCCTGACCCTCGTGGGCATCACCCAGACAAGTGGGTCTGGGGGTGTGGGTCCCGTTGGCATGGGGAAGACTGAGCACAGGTCCCTTGCTTCATTTGTCAGCCATTGGGCTCCTGCTGCCTGTTGCAGGATGGGGTGTAGAGAGATGCCCGCTTGCCGTGAGCTGCAGAGCATCGGGGGGTGGGTTGAGACCCCTGTTGGCTCCAGGCTGGTTGATGGTGGGATGCAGTAATGCATCGTTTGCTGCGATGCACGCCAAGGCACGCTTTTAACTGCGTTTCATAAAAGTACCAGGAAAGTGTCACCTCGCTCCCACTCCTGGTTGGAGAACAGACAGAGGATAACGTCGGTGTTCCCCAAAGCGAGGTGACCACCAGGAAAAATTGTATTGTCCCATTGTCATATTGCACCAAAAGGACATTCACCCGGAGGAGCAAAATGGAAGAAAAATCAACACCTTTTGTGGCATTTCCGGCCAAATCCTAAATCCCTATTCATGCAAAACCTTTTGCTGGCTCTTGCAGTATTTGTTGTTCTTGTTTTAATTGAAGCAGAAGGATTAATGCAGCCCTGATTTCCTTCACTGACTGCAGTGAATTGAGCTTGAGCGCGGGCCAGGAGCTGAGCCTGGCGTTAGGAGATGGCTTCGGTTTATTTTTTTATCCCATCTCAAGGACCTGCAAGTTCAGTCCTGACTGTTTGCCCAGGGTCTTAGTCATGGCAGACGGTGAGACCGGCGCTGGTGGGATGGGCTGTGGATCACGTCGGGATCTGGTGGCCGTATAAAACCCTGACGACCGCGAAGACCATGAAGCTTCCACCCCACCCCAGCATGATCTGGTCTCTGTGCAGCACCTAGGCAGAGATTTAATTCTTTCCTCCTCTGATTTGCAGGAAAATACAATTTTTCTTTGGCTAACAATGTTAACGAGACCCCGAATGTCCAGAACCAGGGAGAGGGAGGAATGGTGGTTTCTGCCTCTGCAGAGACTCAATAAACAAGACGTGGCCGATCCCAACATACGGCGAGACCAGGGACGGGGCTGAGTTGGGTGATGACCTCCCTTTAATCGTGCCTTGAGGG